CTTCCAGTATTAAAGCATCTGTACTTTCCAAAAAAAAAAGCAAATGAAGGATCTGATGAAAGCATCAAAAGAATTGAAAATACAGATGGTTCACACATGATGGATCATCATTATGATAAAGCTGACTAAGCATTCTCTCCCTTTTACATTGGTTGAAATCCAAAAATCTAGCTGAACATGATGGCACATACCTATAACTTCAGTACTTGGGAGGTAGAGGTAGGGTTGCAAGTTCAAGGGAGGCATGGGCTACATAGTGAGTTTGAGGCCAGCCTGAAGTATACAGTAAGACTATCTCAAAAAACCCAAGAGCTATGAATATAGCTCCATGGTAGAACAACTGTCTAGCATACACAAGGCTCTAGATATGTCTAGCATACACAAGGCTCTGGGATGGTGGAGGGGGGAACCACCCAGGCTCATACCTGTAATCCCAGCACTAAGGGAGTCCAAGGCAGAAGGATCAGAAGCTCAAGATCTTCCTTGGCTACATAGAAAGTTCTTATGTAGCCTGTGCTATACAAGACCCTGTCTCAAAAACCAAAACAAAACAAAAGTCCTCAAAATTCACCAAGACTCCATATTGGTAAAGTTAGCAGAAAAGATATCTCAACAGCTGATAGAACATAAACCAAGGCACAACCCCCACTAGCAAATACGTTAATATTACAGATGCATTTTATCATTTCTAATGGTTTGAGGAAATTTATCTTGGGGATACAGAGACACAAACACAAAATAATATATGCAAATTGTGGAGCAGTACAGCTTATAGCAGCCAAACATTAGAACCAACTAAATAACCAAGGAAGGGAGCTAATCATGCAGTCAAAAAAATAATGAAAAAGTATTTCTTTACTAATACAGACTGTTCAACTATAAAACCAAAGGGCAGAATAGCACGTGCTGTACACATGGCTGCTTTCTGGGATGCATCCTGCCAGGGTGCAGCAGGAAAAACACTTGACCTTGATTTTCAAACTAAATGAATATACAATTTTTTCAAACATTGAAATTTTTAAAAAGGAATGAAAATTACAACAATGTTAACAGTGATTATTGCTGGGTGTGGGATTATACGTGGCTCTTGTTTTTTATACTCTTTCAAATTTCCAAATGTCCACAATGAACATGCATTGTCGGTGAAATCTGAAAAGTTTTTTTTTTATATTTACTTATTTATGGTGGAGGGAGCACATACCACAGCACATGGGTGGAGGTCAAAGGCAATTTGTCATATGGGTTCTGGGGATAAAACTTAGGTTGTCAGGTGTTACAGCAAGTGCCTTTATGTGCTAAGCCATCTTGCTGGTCCCAAATGGTTTTTTTGTTTGGTTTTTGGTTTTTGGTTTGTTTTTTTTTTTTTTTTTTGGTCTTTTTGAGACAGGGTCTCTCTGTAGCCCCAGTTGTCCTGGAACTCACTATGTAGACCAGGCTGGCCTTGAACTCACAGAGATCCACCTGCCTCTGCCTCTGCCTCCCAAGGGCTCAAATTAAAGGTGTGCGCCACCACACCCAGCACCCAAATCATTTTTTTTTTAAAGTTCGTGACTATAAAAAAAGGTTGGGAAGAAAAAAGGAACATGCCTATAATCCAGCAGTACTCCTGTTCTACATAGTTGAGATTGTGTCTCAAAAAGAAAGAAAGAAAAGAAGAAAGAAAGAAAGAAAGAAAGAAAGAAAGAAAGAAAGAAAGAAAGAAAGAAAGAAAGAAAGAAAGAAGGAAAGAAAGAAAGGATCCTATTTAAAAAGCCTCACTGTTTATATCCCACTGAGCCATGGACACTGGAGCTCACCAGCCATATCTCTCAGGTCAGGCCACCTTCTCCAAAGTATGTAGAGACCACCATGAGGGTGCAAAGGCCCACAGAGGCTTGGGG